ACAGATAGCCCATAGTGTAGCTTTGTGCTTAATTATAAACAAACAAACAATTGTCTTTATGTTTCGTTAGCTTAACAATCGGAGAACGACAGAACATAACGAGTGCATTATTCAGGTTAGACCTACTGGGTAAAATTTACAGTTTTTAGTGTTTTCATGCTATTCCTTTAGCGTAAAAGAATTTCATTTTTAGTTGTGAGTTCTTCCTGTTTAAAAAGGAAATGATATTCAATTTACATTATATTTTACTTTCGATCGCCGTTTCCCTAAAACGTTCCGAGTAAAATAAATAAATAAACGTGTTGTCAAATTCAATTAAGGACATTAAACAAAGTAAGTTCCGTTTCGTTGCAGACTACAATGCCATTTCAATAAATGTTCGGGAAAGGCTAACTTCAATGACGTTCCCCACCCCTTACAAGACATAGTAGCACGTGACAGAAGCTCCTCTTTACGTCATAGCGTTTGCTACGATTGGTTGTAATAGTTTAAGGGGTCGACATTTGGAGCTGAAGATTACAGCCATTTTATGAAACAAGTTACGGACGGTTCTTATGGAACATAGGTGGACTAGTTGGGTGTATCGTGGTTTACCGTTTTACGCGGATAGTCATAGTGATACAATTAACGAATTTTTAATTAATCAAGAACCTGAATTATACCCTATTTTTATTTCGGATATAAAAGTAGCCAATTTTATTTATGTGTTAAGTGAATTTGCATCGTTTCTTGAAAAGGTCATTTTTAGGCCCATATATAGAAGAATAATAATGGTTGACCACACGACTTCGCACTCGCAGCAAAATGTTTTCAGGTTAGGACATCCCAGGCCACCTTTGTCGCCAAAAACGAACAGGCTTACTGAAGATTATATGATAACAGATAAAGTACTTGGTCTAGGAATTAATGGAAAAGTTGTTGAATGTTACGACAAGGTTACAAGAGTAAAATACGCCTTAAAAGTAAGTTAATATAAATTATGATTATATATATGTATATATATATATACTTAGTACTATTAGTACTAATTTATGTGCTGAGATTGAGTGTGTGTGTGCGAAAAAGAGAGAGAAAAGTGAGTGTGAGATTCGTGAGACAAAGTTGAGCCTGAGGTGAGGGTCATGTGTCAGTATCATTGTCAGTATAAATTACTCTTAATAACAAGAAAAGGAGTATTATAATTATTATTATAAATATTATTGCGATTAGTTATTGAGTTAGATTTGCATTTAGAATATCATTACAATTTGTTCAATTATATATGTTTTAAATACTCTAGAGATATCCTTTTTCAAATTGTAGTTTGCAATTTTATTTTTCAGTTTAATTTTAGTTGAGAAGAAGTCTTAGTTAAAGCAGTAATAGTATTACTATTATTAAACTATATGTGTTTCCAATGCTGATTCCAGTTTTATGACTTAATGACTGCATCTGGTTTGTTATCTAGTTTGTATAGTATTAGTAATAACATTAGATTTTTTCACCAAAGCTGTTTGTTCCACTCTTCACTGATAGGTGTGAGTGATGCAGACATGGTCTAATTGATAATATGAAATCTTGTGAAATTTTCAGTTAAGGGTTTGTTTTTAAGTATAATTATCAATCATTTCTGCTCAAAGCAAGATTACTGACTGAATTAATCTTTAGTTATAATGTAGCTAATTTAATATACTGTAACTAGGAATATGCAATGTTAAAGATTAGAAATGCTTATATTCACCAGTTGGGTGCCCACTCTGTCACTGATAAATTTGGCCATTAACCAAAAGTGCATAGATGGGGGGTCAAAGTGCACATGCCATGACTTGTTGGAGTTTGAGATGTTGATGTCATCACTTCACAGACATATCTTGAGTACACATCTAATTGTTTGTATATTCTGTTAAAAGTTTATCACATTTCACGTAGATAGACGTTGTAAAGTTGGAATTATAATCAACATTCATACTCAAATACAAGCCAATCCACTGAACCAATCCTATAATCATTCAGTTAACATAAGGGTAACAAATCCTTGGGTTGCATTAGTATTATGCAACCTGTGCCCCACAAAGCTACTAGGATTTGTTTTTAAGCAGTTAATTCCCATTTAGAGCATTGCACCTGACAGTTTCAATAAAATTTTCAGCATCATGTGAAGACAGATCAATCCTAAAATTAAAGCATTTAATACTAAATGTCGTATTGTAAGCAGCTTAATTAACCTGTGTTTACATACACATATGCCAATGAGAGAAGAACTGATTAATAGACCTATCCAAAATTCAAATTTACTTTATATTCTCCCTTCTTCTAGAAGTTTCATTACAGATGAGTGTCCACATTTTTCCCAACCTCGGCAGTGTTGCTTCATTCATAAAGTTTCAACTGACTTCTTACAAAAAATTTAATAAGTTTTTTTTTTAGCTTCATATCTAGATTTTTAGATAACATTTTGACTTCAATTAATATCAGACAGTAGTAATACCCTTCATATTTAATGTTAACCACAACCAAAGCTTTCTGATTGTAGCATGATAATACAAAGACTTCTGGTGTAAATATTAAACAGATGAAGCTTATTTTAAATTTCCTTAAGTTTTAACCAATTAATTTATTTCCCTTGTGTTTACAAAAATTCACACTAAGATTTTCCAAGTTGAGAGTTCCCTAAATTTTATCTTATCTACTACTTAACTGAACACACTGCAGTGTGTCCCAATTAGTACTTGTAAGCGGCTTGCTCCATCCTAATATTTAATATGCCATAAAAACTTGATCATTTGAATGAAATTTGCAGGATACTCTAATTCTGAATTTCTTGTTTTAGTGTTGATGAATTAAATATTCTATAGGCTTTTAAAAATTTTGAGGTAACAGTAAAAAAGCACATTATTTGTACAATTCAAATAAGAAAAGTGTTTATAAACTTATTTGAAACATTCTTTATAAAGTATCATTTTTTAAAAATGTATGTGAGATTCCATAACCTTGTTTTACAACTACCAGGCCTCCCACTCTTAATACTGAGGAAAATGCTACTATATTTAGAATCTACTAGAAAGCACCAGTAAGCCAGCTAACTTAGTATCTATTATGAGTGGTGCAAGTAATTATGCCTGTATAGTATTGTTAGATAATTCATTGATGCAAATGCTATTCAGTCATCAGAATAATTGTAAAATTAGTATCAGATAGTGTAATATCAGATCGGATATTTTACCATCTCTACTTTAAAATATTTCTGTGATATGTGGATTACCATGGCAGCCTTCCTTTCATTGGGAACTTCTCTTTGTCAAGACACTTCTAAAAAAAAAAGTTAAAGTCTATTATTTCTGTGATAAACTTATTCAAGATTCTAAGTCAATTCATGTCAGAACTATGAGTCTTAGTGCTAACATGATTTTCCAATTTTTCAAAACAAATGCTTATTCAGTATGAATGTAATTAAAAAATATTTCCCATCCTTAAAGAAACTGGTGAGCTTCAGAATCTCCTCTTCATCTACAACAATACAAGTACTGAAGTTGGACTTCTTTAGCTATGTTTTTCCTGTAGAAGAGTTCCCTTCAAGATATAATAAAAAAAAACAAAAAAACAGTTGCATTACTATTCATCTTTCCTTCTTGTAGTTAACATAAACATTAAAACCCTCAAATTAAATTGAATGCATCGAGATAAGATACTTTCATAATCCCTTCTAGCCTTATTTATGACCATGGCTTACTAACTTCATATCAGTGGGGCACCTGGTATTGGTTATTTTAATAATTTTAATTAAGATTTACAATACATATAGAAATACTGTAAAGGATTTCCAAATTGATATATTCTGCAAAGACTTGGGTTTCTGACGTCTATCTGCTTGCTAATAGGTGCATATGTTGGAAGTAGGCTCTCATTTGTCAAGACTTGGCTGAGACTGTTGGTATTGAAAGTTTTCACGTTCTTAATATAATTCTACATCACCAGTGTTAAACTTGAGAGTAGTTGCATATACTCACTTTGTTGGAAGGGTGGATGCTGTAAACCCATTATTTTTATATTCCTACTGGTACTATTATTTGTTTTGAAAGAATTGAATTTTGATATTTTCTCTCTTTGTTGGATAATCTTGTCCAGTCTACTTTTGTGTAGGAGTCTTAATCATTTATATTGCCAAGTAAAAGACTGAGTGATTTAAAGTATTTTAAATATTAAATAGCTAGAAAAAAAAGCAATATATGGGTATGTTGTTTAAGATTGTTTAATTTACAATAAAATGAAAAATTGGTTCTTACATTTTCTTGAAACAAAGCAGGATGATCTTCCTTGCCTTTCACTGGGTTAAACTATTTTGGTTCCCAGGATTATTGCTGGCTTCAAAATTATCAGATGTTTGGCAAGCCCTGATTATGACTCTTTTTGATTTCTTTCATTATTTCTGTAAACCTCAGCATCCTCCTTGTTTCTTACAACTAAATCTCTTTCATTTATTAAAAAAGTTGGATTTCTTTATTCGTGCATTTAGGAAAAGGTTTTCATTTGGAACATAACATGACTCTCATAGGTGTATCAAAAACCCAGGAGGGTCACAGTTACATTGACTGTGTGATGAAGACCAAAAGAATTCTAACATAACCACTGGATTCAAGTTAAATGACTGATGGTTACTAAACACGTCTTTATAACTCCTAACTTCGACTGCTAGTTTGATACATGCACTATTGGCCAAATTGAGCATGTACAAGGTCACTTTCATCCACACGGTCAATGATGTGTGTATTATCAGAGCAATAATGTGAATATAAGAGAAGTGTATGCTTAACTATTTGTATTGGCTCTGTGTTGTTGAGACTATTTTAACATACTGTAAATTCCCATCAAAGAATAAGCTACAAAGTAAATGGTCCCCCATTGGGACAGTGGTAGGTTTTTGGACTTGCAATGCTAAAATCAGGGGTTCAGTTCCCCTCTGTGGATACAGCAGATAGCCCAATGTGGCTTTGCTGTAAGAAAACACACAAAGTAAATGAGGTATTTTAGTTATATGTACAAAATTTATGAGTTTGACTTATTTCATTAAACACTTAGTAGAATATATTCATTTTTAGCTAAATTGATCTAACTAAAAACATCCCAAAGTGCATTTACATTCTTTCTATTCAAATTATCCACCCACTTATTCTATATCAGTATCTTGCAGTTTTTAGAAATTTGCTTTTTTAAACTTTAGGGGACATGACTCTAGTTAAAATATGAGCTCTCGCCCGAAATTATTATTATTCTCTTTTATTAACTTTATAGCCTTTTAACTGCGACTTAGTTATAACAATAGTATCTAACATACTATCTGCTACAAAAGTTTAACTTAGCCATTTATTGCAAGGACTTACAATATTGGTATTAAAAGATCAACTTTCAATTACCCTGTCATTATTTCCAACATGATTGTTTCTTATGGCTTCCATAATCAACAAAGTAATCCCTTGAAGTCAAAAATAATTATGTTACTATTTAAATTTAGTTTAAGGAGAGAATCATCTGAACCAGAAAGCTGGGCACACCATCAGGTAATGTTAACAAGTTGAGAATTTGAAGCTATCAAACGTTTACAAGCTTTTAGCCACACCTTCAATCAGTGGCTCTTTCTAGAAAGATGGTTCAGAGACACTGGAATCACAATAATTCCCTTTGAACATATCTGTCAAGTCCTTCAGTATAGAAGGGTTATTGCAAAAGACTATCTGCTTGCTAATAAGTGCATATGTTGGAAGTAGGCTCTTATTTGTCAAGAAGTGGCTAAGACCATTGATATTGAAAGTTTCCATGTACTTGATATAATTCTACAGAAAGGAAATC